GTCTTTGATGCTGGAATATGGTAAAACCTTTAGGAGATGGGACACAGTGGGAGGAAGTTAGGTTATTGGGGTTATATTGCCCATAAAGAGAATATTAAAACCCTGTCCCCTTCCTGTCTCTCTTTGCTTCCTCTGAAACATGATCCCACCATGATGTACTATATTACTATAGGCCCAAAGCAACAGAGTCAAATAACCATGGACTGAAACCTTTGAATGTGAACGAAGAAAAGCTTTCCTCTGTATAAGTGTTTATCTCCGGTATTTTGTCATAGTGATGCAAAGCTGACTAACACAGTTATTGTTGACGTTTCTTTTTACTTTCTTTTTTCTTTTTTGGTAGTGCTGTGAATCAAACCCTAGGGATCTACCCATGCTAGGAAAGTGCTCTACCACCGAGCTACACCTTTGTCCCCCTGTTGAAAGTATCTAAATACTCAAGAAGCTGACTCCAAACTATACTCTCTTCCCATAGTCCATGTTCCAAGTAAATTGGACATTTTACACTTGGCTTATCTCAGTAAAGACTGGAGTTGAGTTTTTATTTGAAAATCAGAGTAAAATTCCAGCAGTCATTTCATTAGTGAGCTTATACAAATCTGTGATGAATTTTATGGGGATTGTTAGGTTAAGGTAAAGAATCAAGGATTACATGAGCAACTGTGTAGCTGGTATTGCCATTTGCTAAGATGAGAAAGAAAAGCAGTCTTTGGAGTTAAAAAAAAAAATCAAAAGTTCTGTGGGAACAAAGTCAGCTTGAAATATCTATCAAGGAGCCAAGTGGTGATGTTGAGTAGGTAATTAGATAAATGAATGAGGAGCTCGGAGGAAAGGTCCAAGCTGGGATATAAGAAAGATCTGTACAATGCGTAAGATCATCTAGGAGACTGCATGATTGAGGGAAGAGGCCAGTGTGCACAGTATTGTAAGCATGGTCTACTCACTAACTATCCATGTGTGTCCCACATTTCTCATTGTCTTTGCAGTTAGATAGGGCCATGTAGGTAGCTCTAGACAATGAATGCAGATTGCACCTAAGAACTACCTGAAGATCCTCCATTGCTTTAATCAGCCTCAGCAATCATGAACTCACGGGTCAAGGTGAATGTGTCTAGCTATGGAACCAGCCTAGGTGTCCACTGATGGATGAATGGATAAAAGGAAATGTGGTATATATACACAACGGAGTTTTATTCAGCCATGAAGACAAATGAAATTATGGCATTTGCAGGAAAATGGATGGAATAGAGACCATCATGTTAAGCAAAATAAGTCAAACTCAGAGGTAAGGGTCATATTTTCTCTCATAACAAAGGTGTGGGTAATCTCCTAAGAACCAAAGGACATCTGTAGAAGAAAGGGTCTAAGAGGGTGGAAGAAGGAGAGAAGAGAGGAAGCACTGAGAGAGATATTGGTTAAATTATATTGCTCTATCATATGCATGTATGAATATGTAACAACAAATCCCATCTATGTACAACTATAAGGCACCAATAAAAAATGTGGGATAAAAAAGCGAATGTGTCTGTCAACCCAAGTCCCTGAATATATCTATGTGCTACAAAGCTCCTCTATGATCCATGTCAGATATAGAGCATGAAAAAGAAATAAATATTTGTGTGTGTTTAGCCACAAAAAAAAAAATCAGGATTAATCTGTTAGCTCAGCATAACTTTGTCTATTCTTTTTTTTTTTAATTTTTTTTAAGAGAGAGTGAGAGAGGAGAGAGAGAGAGAATTTTTCTAGTTCTCGGCGGACACAACATCTTTGTTGGTATGTGGTGCTGAGGATCGAACCCGGGTCGCACGCATGCCAGGCGAGCGCGCTACCGCTTGAGCCACATCCCCAGCCCCTAACTTTGTCTATTCTGATTAATTCAGAATTCCATCATATTGTGATACTATGTGCCTCAATGAAGCACCTTGTTCATTTAAAAAATAAAAAAAAGATATATGTGGTTTGATAGGTTGTCGACAAAAGTATATCAGTGGCTGTTTCTAGCTTCTATGTAAACTCCATGTTCAGCTCCTGAATTGTTGAAAATAATGGCAAGATTATGGCCATTATTTGGAAAATGCCTCATTTGTCAACCTGTTTTTATTTTCCTGATGCTTCCCCACCACCACTGCCAGTTCTGGGGATTAAACCCAGGGCCTCAAACATGCTAAGCAAGTGTTCTACCATTGAGCTACACTTCCAGTCCTTTTTCCTGATTTTTAAAGTTTATGAAGACTTTAAAAAGTGTATTTCTTGGAAAATTTTAAAAGTTAATATCAGTTGATGCTGTATAATTTTCTCCTAAAAGAATCCTCTTCCACTGTGTCTCTCCTTCCTTCCTCTCTTTTCTTTTCTTTCTATATGGAAGATTGAACTCATGGCTGCTTTACCACTGAACTACATCCCCATCCCCAGGATCTCGCCAAGCTGCTGGGGTTGACCTTGAACTTGTGACCCTCCTGCCTCAGCCCCCCATATTGCTGAGATTACAGGCATGTGCCACAGGACCTGGCTCAGCTTTCTTTTCTGATATATGACTCATTCCACAAACTGATCCTAGTGGATATTTCCCATTCACTCATTGGACAGATTCATACACACACTCACACTCACCCCCCCATATATATATATATATATATATAGAGAGAGAGAGAGAGAGAGAGAGAGAGAGAGAGAGAGTTGATGGACCCTTATTTTATTTATTTATTTATATGTGGTGCTGAGAATTGAACCCAGTACCTCACATGTGCTCGACAAGCTCGTTATCACTGAGCCACAACCCCAGCCCTCATTGGACAAATTTTTAATAGAGTTCCTATTATGTTCCAAATACTTAGTTAGAAACAAAAGAACTAAGGAAATGGAGCCAGTACATATCCTTATGGCTTATAGTTTTGATACCACCTGGAACATCAGAGATACCAGATATCAAAGATACCAAAGAGATGGGATCTTGAGAGATGGAAATGAGTTTAACCTTTATGTGCCATAATTCTTCACTTGTAAAATGGAAATGACAACTTCTACCTTGCAGAATTATTATATTAAATGAGACCTGAAATGTTTTTATTCAGGTTTTAGAAATTTACTTAGACCGTCTTTAAGAGAAAGTGCTCTTTCCTACAAGGTATCTGATACTATAGTGGCTCAAGGTACTAGTGACCAGAGACTCTTTGCCTTCCTGTGTCTGTGGCTCTGTGTGTCTACATTGTTCTTCCATTACCGTTGCTTGTTCTTACCCTTTTTTCTCTAAATCTGTTCTCAGACATGTCTTATTTATGGTTTGTTTCTTTATAACTTCAGTCTACATGCCCCCTCTTAGCCCTCTGTTTTGTGGTTTCTCTCTATGATCATTTCCTGCATCAGCCCTCAAAATAACTAATTTCATTTTTCACTGAAAAAAATTCAGAAGAATCTGTTGAATTGAGTCATTTTTTGAGGTATTCAAAACACATACATGGAAAAGCTACTATATACAGGAAATAAGCCCGCATTCTGGGCCCCACTCAAAATTTTCCCTCCAACCTCTAACCTCATCCTGAAGATGCCTCCTGTTTACTTGAGGGCTGTTGGATAATGCTGAATTTAGCCTCCAGTCACACTGCCTAACGCCAGAATCTGCATTTAACATGATCCCCAGATGATTTGTATGCACATTCAAGTTTGAGGAGCACTGCTTGAAAACTGCTAGCTCTTCAGACAGGAAACAGCTGGGGACTAAAAAATATTGATGCCTGGGTTTCCCCCCAGAGTTCAGATGTAGTTTTTCTGGAGTTCAGCCTGGTATTCAAAAGGTCAGTAGATAATTCTGATAGGTAGGTTTGAGGACTTACAACTGACCAGCTGCATGAACCTAGATAAATTGCTTTAGTTTCTCTGCAGCCCAGATTTCTCATTTATTAAGCAAAGATAATGCAGTCCACCTATTCCATCTATCACAGAATTTTAAGTCCCAATATAATACATTGTGAAATTGTTTTGAAACGTGCGTCTGTGAATCTTACTTAACTCCTCTAGTCCCATGTTCTTTTTAATCCCATGTTCTTAAATATAATTGAGGATTTGAGATAAATGCATTACCAAATATGTTTATTTAGGTAAAAATGCATGAAAGCTAACATTAAGTTTTACCTGTGTCATGGTCAGGTACTGTTATCCCAGTTTACCTATCATATGGCTGAGGGCTAGTGAGGTTCAGTAATTCATCAAGATTCTGAACATTAGAAATTATTCACCTGATACTTATTACAAAGGCAAAAAAGACTTATACAAGACCACTGTAAAAAAGATCAAGACTATTACAATAGAGGAGACAAACTGACTTCAAGTCTGAAAACAACAGAGGAGATTTACAGCCAGGGCAGGATGTAAGGGATGGGGGAGGAGATGGAAAACCATTAAAGAGGAACTTAGTAAGGTAATGAAGGGTGAGCAAAAAGAGGAACTTGATTGAATATCAAGGGTAAGGGGACTCTGAAAAACTGGCTTAGCAGGATTCTTTGGTAAAACAGGGCTCGGCAGGAATTGAACTCAGAAAGAGGGCCAAGACTGGTCAAGGAAGAATTAGGAATGAAACTGAGTGCGTTTAAATCTGAATACTTTGCTGACCTTCCTACCCCAATATTAGGGATTAACAGCTTAAACTTCAGAGGATGCAATTTGGCTCTGTACGTCGTGAGGTATTCACCACATTGCCCAGCGGTAAGATTACTGGTTGCATCCCAGCCTCCAATCTGACCAACCAAAAATCACAGCCTTTCATATCTCTGTCCTCAGTCTGCAGGCGGCAAGCAAACCAAGAATCCCACAGCCTTATCTGAGGGCGGGGCCCTCACGCACCTGCTGCGCGCCAATCACAGACCCGCGCGCAGGAGCGCAAGCGCCACAGCCGTGGGCGGGGCCTCACCACTCCCCAGTCTCCTCAGACATGTAGGTCTCCCGCCTCTCTGATTGGCTTTCTGGGGATGACGCAAGAGGCCGCCTCCGCCTATGGTTGCGGAGCCGGCAGCCGGTCGAGTGGCGGAAGTGGTGTGAGCGAGGTGATCCCGCAGTGTAGGAGCCGCGCGGGGCTGGGACGCAGAGCTGAGGCCACTGCTTCACCTCCCCCCGACCACGTGAGGATGACGCGCTTCGCCCTGACCGTTGTCCGGCAGTGAGTACTGCTCTTGCAGGGGGCCTTTCTTTCCCTTCCCATCGAGTATTTTGGAGTGGGCGGTAGGAGCATGCATCTGTCATCTCTTGTCCCTGCCGGCTCAGCCCTTGGAGGGATGACTTGGAAGGGAATGTTTCCAGGCTCTGTCGTCTGGGTCATCCCATTTCGACCCCTCTGATCACAACCATCCGAGTGCTGAAGGCAGGTCTTAAATATCATCACTCCGGTGTTTCACGTGAGAAAGCAGTGGTAGCTGAGTAAAGGATTACGGTTCTCTTAGTGGCAGAACTAAAACTGAAGAAAGACAACCCTGTCTCTCGGCTTCTGTGCAGTTTTTGCTCCCCAGCAGATTTTAAAGAGTTTGCAGAATTGCCCTTCCGTGGCTGATATTTTTAATGCCCTCTGCCTTTGGTTACTGCCTTTCTCCCACTCTGCTGATCTTCTTGGTTTACCAGAGCAGTCAGCTCCACGGGCATGTATTGCCGATTTATTTCCTTCCTCTCCAGAGATTACAGTTCTGAGAAAAAAAAAAAAAGAGGGCCTTAGCCTCTTGGCAGACCGCCATCACCCAGAATAAATATTTTTATCATAACAGATTGCATGGAGCTAAATCTGTTATTGTCTCTTTTTTCCTTCTCAGCACCTATTTGCCGAGTGTTCATGGGACATGTAATTCAGTGCAGTTCAAGAGCAGAAAATTTTCAAGTAAAATAGTTGGGTTGGAATCTGCCTCCAGGACAGAGCCCTGAAGCCTGAGCCTCTGATAACCAGTTTCCTGATATGCAAAATGGGAATAGTGATAGTACCTATTGCAGTGGGTTATTGTGAGGATTAAATGGGGAAAGGTAAAATGTATGGCATAAGGTAGGGGAAGAAAACATCTAAGAATTAAATAAGTTGTATAAGGACAGCTCCAACAAAGTGCAATTGGTTCTCAACAGTACATGTATAGTCTATCAGACGAGCATTTTGAGTAAATTCTACTTGCCAGTGGAGGGAATTACAGGGATAATAAGATACTGTTTCTGCCTTCATGGAGCTCACAAAGAAAGAACTCTTATAGGATTTAATTTTGTCAACCCTACTTTAACTGAGGTCTTTTTCTCTCCCATTCTTCCCTTATAGGAAGATAATCTTGGGAATCATCTGAAGTTGTCTTTTGAGGACTCATAAAATTTTAATGTTTTCCTATCACCCCACCCCACACCCCCATTTTAGAAAGCTTTGGGGGATTCTTGACTTTCTTGAGGTCATACAACTAAATTGGTTAGCAAAACTGGAACTAGATCCCTGATTACTAATGCCACTTTTTTGTTTGTTTTCCCAACATAGGAGTGCTTTCTGGATCTAGCCAGAACAGTGTCAATCAAATGATTGAAAATTTAGAAGTTAGGAAGTCTGAGTTAAGGCACCCCTTGAAAAGTAAGGTGATCCCTGTTTAGATTCTTAATTATGAATGTGTATTTCATTCCCTTCCTTCTGCTTAAAAAGGCCTTCATTAAAAAGGCCTTCATAGGAAATCACTTAAAAACCGTCTCTTAATAAATTATTAGGTGTCAAGCACAGGTGTAATTAGAATCTGACAGTCTTGAGGTCTGACATCCTCAATTTGCAGGTGAGAAAAATGAGGCAGAGAGGCCATGTAACTTGCTTAAATTCATGTGGCAAGTTGGGTAGGTAGGATTCAAACCAAAACAACTTACCCATTGTGTTCTGCCTTTTATTATTATTATTATGTTAAGTCCTAGTATTTGAAGATTACTTGAGTATCACTGGCCATGTTTGAGTCTCTTCCCCTGCCCATAAGATAGTTGTGATGAGAATAAATTTTGATCTATTTTAAACTTAGGAAAATGGAAAAAAAAAGATGTTGGGATAATCAGGAGGGCTGTGATTAACTGCTTTATTATCAGAGCCATTCCGTCCCTTTTCTTTTTTTTTCAGTTATAGGTGGACACAATATCTATTTTGTTTTTATGTGGTGCTGAGGATCAAACCCAGTGCCTCATGCATGCTAGGCGAGTACTCTACACTGAGCCACAATCCCAGGCCCTCCATCCCTTTTCTTGCCTTGAGAGTTCTTAGAGAAAAAAAAAAAAAAAAGGTAAAAAATAAACCAAAACACAAAACCAACTGGTGGTTCTTTCAGGAAAAGAAATTATTTCAAATTTGATAATCAACATAGTTAAATATAATGGTTTGTTAAAGAGTTGAATAATTTTATAGAACTTTATGATGTATAATATATAGCTATATAATTTTTATAATGCAAGGAAATTTTAAAGCAACTAAATCCACCATGAATTTTGTTCTGTTACTATATGTGTGTTTATCTTTCTTCATTATACTTTGAAGTGAAAGGACCAGTGTGTATCATTTTTGGAAGAGAATGCTCAAGATTCCCAACTTTGAATCTACCATTATTATCAAACTGTAATTTCTCATGACAGCACAGCATTGTTGAAATCTCCAACAGATGTAGGTTGGCATTATCATCTCCTGATAGGTGACAGACAGTTGAGTGGTGGGATCATGCGGTACATGAGGATAGTGGGATAATTCTATAAACTGGATCCATTATGCTTTCCCTGACCCCCACATGGTTTTTTTTTTTTTTTTTTTTTTTTTTTTTTGTACTGGGGATTGAACTCAGATGTGCTTAACCATTGAGCCATATCCCCAGGGTCTTGAGACAGGGCCTTGCTGAGGCTGGATTTGAACTCATGATCCTCCTGCCTCAGCCTCCTGAGCCATTGGGATTAAGTCACACACCACTTCACCCAGTTCATGTGTTTTGTTTTGTTTTTAAAGGCAATTTACCTGCAATCCTGCCTGGTTTAAGTCAACAGAATATGTTATGTTCCTCAGCCAACAATCTGTTATATGCAGAAGGGCGGCCCCAGAATGCCAAAAAGAATGCAAGTTACCCTGAAAAGGGGTGGGGGTTGTGTGACCCTTATACAGACTAGATTCCAAAACTGGAATTCCCCCTAGCCACAGAATCAGTAAGAACAAATTCCAATTAGAACTAGTCAGCAGGGGTCAAAGTAATCAGAGTTGCCTTGATTCTTTATCCTGTGCAGGGAAATCTGATGCAAATGTGATATCAAGTAAAAGTCAAGAGATGGACTTTGGGCGGGACTCAGGAAATTTCCCTGGGACCCCCAGTAAAATTGGAGGGCAGAAGGAGCATGCTGTCCTTCCCCTCTCTGAGAGGACCTACTTCCTACCTTGAGAGTGTCCCCTTTTCCTGTTCTTTCTAATAAACTCGTACCTGTTTCTCTGAGCAACATTCTGATATGTTTCTGGCATGATCAGAAGAACCAGTGAGAGAAGAGGGCCGTGGCTGCCTCATCCCTGCAGTTGGCCCTTGCTCTGGAACACCCGACACAAGGCTGTTGAAGGCCCTGGTTCCTTGAACTGTTTTTTGTTGCTGTTTGCAGTCAGTCACTTGCAAGCCATCATTTCACTTCCAACTGACTTATAAAACTTTTTTTTTTATAAAGTATATTTAATTTACACTTGATGACTTAAAGATGATCAGTTAGTAAAGCTGTGCATAGCCAAACTGCCCTTTTTTATTCTACTTCTGTCAGCAGTTACTTTTTGTTAAATGTTAGTCGTTGTTTTAGACATTAAAAAAGCAAAGCAGTATTAAATTATCTGCAATTTAATATTTTTATAAAGATATATGTAATTGCTATATTACTGTGATATAGGTTCCTAGGTATTGGGGTGGTCAACTGAGGGGAGCCTTTACAACCAGGATGCTCTATATATAAACAAAAAATGTATCATGAGTTGGCTATTTTACAAGTGGTTTTGTTTTTTTTTTGTATCGGAAATTGAACCCAGGGGTGCTTAACCTTTGAGCCACATCCCCAGCCCTATTTATATTTTATTTTGAGACAGCATCTTGCTAAGTTGCTAAGGGCCTCACTGAGTTGCTTAGGGTCTTGCTAAGTTGCTGATACTGGCTTTGAACTAATGATCACCCTGTCTCAACTGTCCAAGTTGCTGATATTAAAGGCATGCACCCTGTGCCCGGCCTTATGAGTGTTTTTCCACTCAAACCGTCTAGTGAAAGTCCTTATATTACTAACCTTTGAAATCTTCTATTTGCAAATGAATTAATTGTAAAGGAATTAGAATTAAGCTGTATTCATGAATAAATATCAGAAGGTTTTATATTTCCATGTACAATAAAGCATATTTATTCTGAAAATGTATACTAATGAGTATATACTAATTTCCCATGATTTGTCTCTCTGGTATGGCAAACTGAGTATTGTCTGTTGGATTTGAATCCCTCAAGAGGACATAATGGGGAAATTAAGCTTTATATGATTTCTAAAGAAATTCCACAGAATATAAATCTGGACTGAAAAAAAAACACCTTTAAGTGAAAAACAGTATGATAAACTACAAAATTAATGATGCATATTTGTGGGCCTATAAATGGCTCGTCATAAGACTTCACTTCTTGGCATAAGTCTTTAGATTCCTGCAGAGTTGGGTGTTGTATTTTGGAAGTGGATCACACTGCAGTTTTGAAAATGAGTGGTGTTATTCTTGACTCCTTCAAAATATATCCCTCTGACCTTTCAGCTGCCGCCTCTTCTCTGCCTCTGTCATAAGCCAAGCTTTGGTTAAGGAAAATGGATTAATAGTTAAAACTATTTTATCCATCTAGTTTCCACTCCCCAAACTAATTTTAAACACTTGCTTCAAGGATTTATGTAATCTTGGTAAAGCTAATAAAAGCTCTAAAATTTTAATAAAAGTTTTAGGGAAAATGCAACTTTTGGATTCCTACTGTGTAATATTTATAAAGTGGTTTGAAGGCAAAAATACCCAACACAAGTTAAAAGCAAAAGCCAGTGATTATAATAATACAGTTAGTTCTGTAGCAGTCTTTATTGACAAATAGCTAAAAGAAGTCCCGCATTACATCACAGCTATTTTTCTCCTTTTGCCAAAATCATTAGATGGTGGGAAGTGCCTCTACAAAACTATCAAATTACTGGTGTTTCATTTTTGGTAACTTTAGAAGCAGTTCTTTTATTCTTCATCTCAGCAAGATTATGAGGTTGAGATACAAAGTGAATCTAATGCGTAACACCATTTTCTAGGTGAGATGACAGAGTTCCTCAAACTTACCCTGGATGCTTCTGATCCATCTGCAGGGTAGAGGTTAATTTTCACTTTTGTGTCCATTAGGATTCCAAATGAGTTCTGGATAATAATGATGAATTAGTACTATTTGTTTTGCCAAGGCATAAATAGTTCTATGTATAATAATTTCATTTATCTTACTTTTATTTGTAAACTAATAAACAAACATTTTTAGAAATCAAAATAATTCTCCCTCTTGTTATTTCCCCACCCATAGATGACAGTTTCTTAGTTTCATTGTGTATCCTTCCAGTGTTTCTTGTGCAGATCCAAATATTATTTCCCTCCTTCCTAAAAAGGTGATGTTCTTTTTATTTTATTCTATACCATGATTTTTCTATTTAATTAGTATCTTTACGTAAGTTTCTCTCTCAAAGACACTGCTTGCTACACATTATTCCATTAGGTAGATATATCACTATTTATTTGTTAATGAAACCATTAATAAATGGTTATTTGAGCTATGGTTATGGAAACCAACTTCTTGTCAATGGAATATTTACAATCTTTTCTATTAGAAATAATTTTAATATGAGTGAATGCAGGTATTCCTAGCAACAGGGCTGTGGTTTAATAAGCCCGCCAGTTAATTCTGATGAGGCTCAAGTTTGAGACCCATTGCTCCAGGCAGCCATTGATCACAATGGTCGGGAGCCTACGCAGAGACTCAGTCTGTATTCCTAGTCATGGCTCAAGAAACATTTGATTAAAGCACAAGAGTTTTAACTGAATTCTCCTTTTTACTTACTTGAGGATTGCTTTTATTGGTCTACCCTGTCATCTGGACTTGCCCATGTATTCCCCTCTCCTCTTTCCTTTCCAACCTCCATTTCCCCAGTTACTTGGTGACCAATTTTTCTAGTCCTCTCACCCTTCTCATTGTTTCAAGGCTGTTTGAATTTGTTTTGTTTTTAACTCCTAAAATTGTAGTGTCCAAGCCTCAGTTCAGTGTGCTGTGGTTTGCAGGATAGTGTTCAGTACTACAAAATGTTCCTTCTTTCCCATTCCATTCCAATGCCCTTTCCCTTGCTCAGTTCAAGGTCAGCAATATAAGGACTGATCTTCATGTTTTGGCTCTGCCTTTGAAAGTAATTTTGAGTAATATGTTTATTTTGACAAGATTATTTAACAAAAATAATGTATGTACATATATAAATATTTTAAAAATAGCATTATACTCTTGCAGTTTATTTAAGATTGATTCCTAATCTATATATTTTAATTTGGGGTAGTTTGAAATTTTGAGCTCATCACTAGAGCTATAGAATGAATTGCATTTTTATAGGTTCAATTATGAAGTGTGTTATGATTCAGATGATTTTTATGAATATCATTACCCTTCATAGCTAGTTTTCTTCTTTTCAAAAATGACATAACTTGATATTAAAGTTTTTTCCTCCCTCTTTCTATTTTAGTGGGGAAACAAGATTGAACAAAGAGAAAGTACTTCAAGGTTGGTATAATCTGGTTGTTATTCTAAATCTCTGCTTTAGTGTTAAAGTGATATGCAAATTAATCAGATTCAGTGGGTAGGGTAGTCTGGGGGCAGCACTGTACTGGGATTGGCTTAGATTGAGATTTCAGAAATAAAGAATATAACAGCCACAGAATATGGTCAGAGCAACTGGTAACCAAGAGGAATAAATCTTGACTGAACTAAATGGACACAACAGCTCTTCAGCTGGGTGTAGTGATGCAGGCCTGTAATCCCAGTGATTTGGGAGGCTGAGGCAGGAGGATCGTAAATTCAAGGGTACCCTCAGCAATTTAGTGAGGCCCTGAGCAACTTAGTGAGACCCTGTCTCAAAAAATAAAAAGGGCTGGGGACAGCTCAGTGGTAAAGTACCCCTGAGTTCAAACCTTATCACCACCACCACCAACAACAAAAAAACCCCAGAAACTACTTCTCCAAATTGCTATTTACATTCAGCTTCTAAGAGGCCTAGTCAGCTGATTAGAAAGTTATATTGGTTCTAGATGCCTGAAAATATAACTGTCTAGATTTAAAATGGTTCCTATTTGGAAATGTGACGTTTTCTGGCTGGTGTTAATGGTATTTTCTAGCTCAGATATTTTAGATTTAATTCTCATGTGTGCTCATTATTTTATTCTGAACTGATTCTTCCTGTTGAGTTCTGTTAGTATGGACCCCAAGTTTTTAGTTGTCCTGTGATCTAGCTCAGCTTTTTAAAGAATATCCCGAGTGAACTTTCAGGTAGAACTTCTATTTCTGTGCTGTGATTATAAAAGCATTTAGTTTTGTTTGAAGGGTAGTGACCTGGGGTTGATGTAAACTGGTTTTCATTCCCAGGGTGCTTAACTCCCTTTTCTGGAGACTAACTAGTCTGACACTTAAATGAACCTGCTTTTGAATGACTTGTACTGATCCAAGTTATTCTCTGGCTTTGATCCATTGCCACCACCTTGTCCTTTAGTACTGCTCCTTTGTCTTACTTCATTAGAAGCTGACCGTGGAATGTGAATAAAAGTCTTTTGTGTTCACATTTATTTTTTAGTTTATTCTTTTTTTTTTAAATTCTTCTCCCAACTTAGTTGGATGCTTAGTTCTTTAAAAAATATACATAATCTTTTTAGCTGGTAATAGTCTATTTGCCTTTATTCTGGTTACTGATATGTTTGAACATCTTTCCTTTGTTGTTCTTTTCCTCCTTCTTTTTGTAGTCTTCCTCTTTATTCTTACTGACTTTTATATCTTAAGTCCTTATTTCTCAGGCTTGTCTTACCTTCCCTACTGGTTCCACCATTTCTGGTCTTTTAATGATTGCCTTTAGATTTTCCCATTCATACTCGTTTTAGTCAGTTTACGAAGATGGACTGGGCAGGTGAAACCACACGTTTATTTCCTCACAGCCGTGGAGGCCAAGTCCAAGATCAAGGTCTTCCCAGTCTGCTTCCTGGTTTGCAGACTTCTGTCTTTTGGTGGCATCCTCCCACGACTAAGAACAGACAGTAAGAGCTCTTGTGTCCGAGCATGCTTTTGTTTTCTCTTTTTTCCTCTGTACTAGGGCATTCTACCACTGAGTTCATTCCCAGCCCTTTTTATTTGAGACAGCATCTTGCAAGGTTGCTGAGGCAGGTATCTACCTTGTGATCCTCCTGCCTCAGCCTCCTGAAGAATAATATTATTAATGTCCCTCTCGAAAAATACAGGAACTTATGTTATCATTGTCTGTCATCTTAAGTCTTTTTTTTTTTTTTTTAAACCACTTGATGTGAACATTATTGCCTCCACTTGTCATTCAGGCAGTGTTTGCTACCTTTGCTGCTCATTGCTTCTTTTGCATCTCAGACCTTCTTTCCAGAATTATGTTTTCTGAAAGGTTCCCGGGTGTGTGTGGCTAGGCTGATGATAAAGGTGATCTTAGTGCATACAGTTTTGGTTGGACGGTTCTTCAACACTTGGAAGATGTTAATCTATTCTTATTTGGGCTTTCATTGTTCCTGTGAGGAAGTCCTGGCCCATCAAGTACGTTCCACATTTACATCTCTCTCTATAACTATTCTGAAAATCTTTGCTTTGGTTTATCTAGGAGGGTTTTTTTTTTTTTTAAATTATTCTATTTGATATGCATTGTGTTTCCTTTATCTGTACATGGGTGTCTTCTCTCATTTTTGGAAAACTCGGTCATTATCTATTTTTTTTTTCTGAGAGAGAGAGAGAATTTTTAATATTTATTTTTTTAGTTTTCGGCAGACACGACATCTTTGTTTGTATGTGGTGCTGAGGATGGAACCCCGGGCCGCACGCATGCCAGGCGAGCTCGCTACCACTACCACATCCCCAGCCCCAGCCATTATCTCTTTATGTTTATTTTCTCCGTTTTCTACCTCCAAAGATTTCGTCTCTGAAAGATGGAATCTTTGGGAGGTGATTAGGTCACGAGGGTGCAGCCCTTGTGGGCAGGATTATTAAAAGGGGGCCCTGAAGAGCTCTTGCACCTTCTTTTGCCATTTGAGCACATAAGGGGAGAAGTCAGCACTCTGTACCCTGGAAGAGGCCTTCACCAGAACCCAGCCATGCTGACACCCTGATCGTGAACTTCCAGCCTCCAGCACTGTGAGACATGAATGTTTGTTGTTTATAAGCCATCTGATCTATGGTATTTTGTTACAGTAGCCTGAACTAAGCAATGCATGTGGGGAATTCTCATTCTTTCCCGTTCATCACCAGTATATCCACATTCCGTCTCCTTGTATCTGTGCTGCATTCTGGGTAGTATGTGCATCTCTGTCTTGGAGTTCATTACATCTCCCTTCAACCACATCACTCAATCCACTGAGGGATTTTTTTTTTTATTTTCTTAGCATTCTGTTTTTCCTTATTAAAGATTTATTTTATCTTTTAGAAAGCCATCTGGTTGTTTTTAATGCTTTCTGTTAATTGCTTATCTTTCTGAATCTGTCTTTATGATAGGGAACAGACAGATGTGAGCAGTGGAAACATGAGGTTAAGGGAATAATTCTATAAAATGAGTCTCCTGTGCTGACTCTCATGTGGTTTCTTTTTTAAAAAAGCAATTTGCCTGCAGCCCTGCCTGGCATAACAACCTGTTATCTGCAGGAGAAATGCAGGCCTAAAATGCCAATAAAAACATTAGTTACCCTATAAGGGGGGAATTTTGTGACCCTTCCACAGACCAATCCCAGAACTCTGAAAGGTAAGGATAATTCCCCTAACCATAACATCTCTAAGAACAAGTTCCAGTTAGAACCACTCAGCACAGGACAAACCAAACTAGAGTTCCCATGTGCAGAGAAAACTTGAAAGTCTGCTGTCATCCTGCTGTCTGTCAGTCGAAAGTCAAGAGGTGGACCTGGGTGGTCTTTCTGGAAACTTCTCTGGGACCCCCAATATAATCAGAGGGTAGGAGAGGACCCGCTCTCTCCCTTTTCCTATCCCTTCTAATAAATTCATGCCTGTTACTCTGAGCAACACATCTGAAATCTTTCTGGTATGACCAGGAATATTCTGCCTATAACATTTATGTCTTATTCATAATTAATTTCATAGCTTTTCTTTGCTGATTTCAGTGTGTGAATTCTTAATGATTCTAAATCTGTTCTTTTTTTCTGCTGACTCTCATTCATTATTATGACTCTCATTCATTCATTATGGATTATTTTCTTGTGTATGTGTTGAATCTTTGGCTGAACTATTATTTGCTCTAAAATTAGTGGAGAGCTTGTTATCCTTTGTTGTGAGTGGTTTGTTCTGAGCAGGATTTGCACTTGACCATTGGCCTGAGATGACAGTAGCCTCCTTCCAGGACCCCTTGCTTCAGTGCAGTTTGGTCCTCCCACCTTGCTGTCCCATGAGCAGGCCTCCTCCAGAAACCCTTCCAGCCTGAGCTGATGTTGCAGCAACTCCAAATTTCCATATCACTTTTCACATTTCAGCCCAGGGGTCTTTGATGGCTTGGCTTCATCCCTTGGGAATTTCCTTGCATTCTGTGAGCCCACTCATGCCAAGCATACATTGCTTAATTATTCTGTAGTAATAAGTCCCTTCACAGTGTCCGCTCTGCTTTTTCTCCTGGAAGGAAGTAGGTTTCACAGTATTTTTTAAAAAAAAAAAAAAAAAAAAAGAAAGGGAAGGGGGCAGGGAAGGAGAAGTACCATCATTATAATATTGAACATTTGGACAATGGAGATATAGGAGGCAAAACTCTGATGGTAATGATAGCAGCACATGGAGGGTTAAAATGCAACCAATGAGGACATGGGCAAACACAAAAGAGGGAAGAGCTAAAACTGAGATGTTGTTAGCATCACCTTATTCCCAGCAGGCAAACCACTCTTTGGAAAACATTTGAATCTGAGCCTTGATAGAATCAGCTTAACTTCACAGTAGGTACTGTCGGCTCCTTGGCTCTCTGAAAAGTCGTGTAGAAAAGTGCTCGAGGAAACTTTTCATTAAAATAGAGCTAGGCACAGTTTCTGTTCTCTTATATGTGGCTTTATCTGTACCCCTCAGTTATGTTTTTGAATGCTTTGTTTCACCACAGGACAAGGAATAGATGAACCTCTTTCGGAGACTGGATTTAAACAAGCGGCTGCTGCTGGGAGATTTATGAGTAAAGTGAGGTTTACTCATGCTTTCTCCAGCGACCTCACGCGGGCAAAGCAGGTGAGTGTAGAGTGAAGGTTTAGGCTAAGAGGTCCCAAGTCTCAACAAGTGTATAAGCTGGAAAGATCTGCCACCAGAGCCCGCAGGGAATTAAATCACATAGACAGCACCTCCTCCCCACTCTCTCATCTCCATGTGAACTCTTTCCTTTTCTTCTCGTTGAACTTAGTTTTTTGTTTTTTGAATATTTAAGTTAGAGTAGCTTTGGAAAAAAATGCTTAACAAAAAATAAAAATAAGGTATCAGGAAAAATCCAGGAGAAATGACAGGCAGGAGATCAACCCACAGTCACATCAAATAATAGAAAGGCCAGCAGAGTAAAAAAAAGCATTCTGATTCCATAAAGAAATATGTGACATGATGTAAATGTCTTTAGAGAACAGATCTCTATAAAAATGACACCCAGATTTTTTTAAAAAGAACCAAATCAACTTGTTAAAACTCAATGGAAGGAGACTTTTGTGACTAACTATGAGGGACTAATAGGATTGGAATTTACCTCCCTGTGTAAACATCTAGAAAACTCAACAATAAGTGCAAAATCTCGGCGAGGCTGTGGTTGCGGCTCAGTGGAAGACTGCTTGCCTAGCACATGTGCGGTACTGAGTTTGATCCTCAGTACTGCATATTAATAAATAAATAAAGGTATTGTGCCCATCTACAACTAAAAAAAGTATACGTTATTTTATATATATGTATATATTATATACATGTAATACACTTATTTATAATTTTCTTCCAGTCTGTAGTTTGCCTTTTCATTTTACAAATGGTACTTGCAAAGAACAGACAACTTTTACTCGAATAAAATCCAGTAAGTGAGACCTTGGACTCCAGGCACATTGTGACTCTGTGATGCCTAGATGAGTTGGAACAAATAAGCTGTGCCCCAGGATTGTCCAAAGTCATTTCCAGACTCTGGTAGGGGGCACAAAATAGAGCTCGGTGGTCCCCGTGATTTGAGGAGGGAAATCGTGGAATTTGGGGATATTAAGGTGACTAAAATTTGAGGTTCAGAGAAGTAGAAGAGCTAGACAGAGAAAGAACTCTAGAAGTATACATAGCAGTCTGCTTAAATATGTCAAAATATGTTCTTCTGTCATGGATAACTAAAATGAACAAATTTTTAAAAATTCAACCAAAAAGAAACTCTTTGGTGGACTGTTTTCTGCATATGGGTGGAATGACACCGCATGAGAACAAGCAAGACACAGCTGCAGAGGAGAGACTGGTTCCTGGGGAGGGAAAAGTGGAGCGATTCCTAGAGCTCACAGAGGGTGGGGAAGCACGTGAGTCCCCACCAGTCAGCGTGCAGGGATTTTGTGGAATACACAGGGCACACAGTAGTGATTCCAGAATGAATACTTCCTAGCAGTGAATAAGGAAGAAAAATGAGGAGAGAAATAGAAGATAAAAACCAAAAATCTTAAAAAGGAACCAGGTTGGGGCTGGGGGTGTGGCCTAGTGGTAGAGCACTTGCCTAGCATGTGTGAGGCACTGGGTTCGATTCTCAGCACCACATGTAAATAAATGAATAAAATAAAGGTCCATCAACAACTAAAAAAATATTTAAAAAAAAAATGAAAAAAAAAAAGGAACCAGGTTGAGCTGTATATGTGTAATATGAATTGTAATGCGTTCTGCTGTCGTATATAGCAAATTAGAATTTAAAAAAAGAACCAGATTGATCTAGAGGTGAAAAATATGATGTCCTGAAATAAAAATGTCACAAGATGGACTAACAGGGTAGGCACTGTAGAAGAGGTCATTGAACATGAAGACTTAGCAACAGAACATTCTGAATTTACTATGGAGCAGAAAGAAAGAAAGAATAAAATAGGAAGATAACCAGTCTCAGCGAAGTATGGAACAGTGTCAGACAATCCAACACACATGTTGGTTGGGAGTCCTGAGAGGAAAATGGGGAAAAGGAGGTAGGAGTGAGTACAGGATTTTTTAGAAATATATTCTGAAGGTATAAAGATTGAAAATACTTTGAAAACTAAAAAGAAGACTTTTTTTTTTTTTTTTCTCAAGCAAAATTGGAGAGGCCAAAAACAGAGCCACCCTCATATAGTCAATTATTGGTTTATGTTTTTGGCCAGTAGGATTTTGACAAAGGTCCTATAGTAATTTATTAGATAAGGATAGTCTTTTCAATAATGATGCTGACACAACAAACATGAATGTCAACCCTTACCTTGCACCACACACAAAAACTAATTTGAAATTGATTATATAAACTGGATTTTATTCGAGTAAAAGTTGTCTGTTCTTTGCAAGTACCATTTGTAAAATGAAAAGGCAAGCCACAGATTGGAAGAAAATGTACATATATATATATGACACTGTGTGCATATGAATTCTTTCTACTCAGTAATTAGACAAACTTTAAAAGGGGCAAAAGATTTTAATTAGAACAGGAACTTCATAAAAGAAGATGCATGCAAAGACAATAAAATGATACAAATGAAAAGATGTTCAGCATCCTCAATCATCACATAAATGCAAATTAAAACCTCACTGAGATACCACTGTACATAATATTTGAATGACTAAAATGTGAAAAGATTGTAGAGTATCTAAAAGTCACATATTGCAGGTGAGAATGTAAAAGAAACCAACTACTTTGGAAAATAGTTTAACATATGCTTATTGTTACCCAGTAGTTTAAGTCCCAGAGACTTATCCAAGAGAAATAAGAACGGATGTCTGCACAAAGACTTGTGTACCATTGTTCAGTAGGACTTTTGTTTGTAGCAGCCATATAATAGACTCTGTGTTTATCAGGAGGTAAATGGACAAATGAACTGTGGTGTGTTCATACAGTGGAACACTAGACATGCATCAACATGGATGAGTCTCTGAAAAACATGCTAAACCAAGGAAACCAGGCACTAAAGAGAACATAATACATGATTCTATTTATATGAAACTCTGGTAAAAGACTGATGTACAGTTACATAAAGCAATTCAGTGGTTGCTTGGGCCAGGGGTGAGAAGGATTTACCGGCATGGATATGAAGGTATATTTTGAGGTGATAAAATTCTTCTGTATTTTAATTTTTGGCACTTAGATAGGTGTATAAATTTGTCAAAACTCAAATGAACTGTAGACTTAAGATAGGTGTATTTTACTGTTGTAAATTATGTATCGATAAAGTCAATTTAATGTAGGGAATAAGTTAGGACAAACCTCAGTGAATATACTGAGTTACAGATTACACACAGCTGACATGATTGTTAAGACAGTAAACCTAAGGGTGACATACATGACTGATTTAAGACGTGAGGAACATGATGGGAAGTAGTAATGTCTTTCAAGAGGAGATGTCAGAGAGTGAGGATGAGGCAGTATTCAAAAAGACAGTGGATCTCAGATCCAGAAAGTGTGACCAGTCCCAATTGGTAAATACAAAAGAAATCCACCTCTGTATTCATTGTAGCCAAGCCAAGATTCCAAAGAATAAGGAAGACAAACATCATTCACTAGTCAAGCAGTTAGGCTGTCTACAGATCAGTAACAGCCTCTTCAGTATGCTGAGAGAGGGCAAGGATTAACCTAGGGTTTTAAACTTTTTCTAGAAAACAGGTGAAGACCATTCAGACAAACAAACCCTCAAGGCATTTTCAAAAAAATATTGAAAATAATTCTAGAAGGTCCGAGTTTCAGAAAAAGATCAGTGAGCAAAGAAATTGGCAAAGGTACACATAGCATAGATAAATACAAAGAAATACAACATGCATATTACAGTAATGATAATGTCTAACTTACAGGGAGGGGATGAAAATGCAAGGTAGATGTGGACTTAACAATTTCTGTAGTTTTGCAAATACAGTGTTTTATGTCCACTAAAACTAGCCAGATAAACTGAAAGAAGGAAACATGGACACACATGAGCAAAATTAAAAGATAAACAGCCACAGGAGGAACACACCCATGTTACACACAGGTGAGCGATGACCCAGAATCTTAGCAGAGAACTGTAAACAGTAAATTTTAAACAAAAGTTCAAATTCTAGAACCAAAAATAGCACTGCAGTTGAGGCTAATGGATGTTAAATAGCAGTTTAGACACTTGAGTGGAGATTTAGGAAATGGAACAGGTTAGCCAACCTTTTCTATAAGGAGCCATGTGATATATACTTTAGATCTTGTGGGCTCTGAGCTCTCTGTCACAACTGTTCACCCCCTACTGTTGGAGTGTAAAAGCAGCCAGAGACAATACTTATGTGGAACTTGTGTCTGTGTTCCAATAAAACTTTATTTACAAAGCAGCTGACAGTTTGGATTTGGCTTGTGGGCTATAGTTTGCTAACATGTGAACTAAGAGATAGTTTAGCAGAAAATACCAGAGTCAGTCATGGAGAGACAAAAGGAGGAGCAGAACAGAAGGGGGACCATTTGTTATTGTTGGTTGGTTTTTGCATTGCTAGGGAAGGAACCCTGTGCATGCTAGGCAAGTTCTGTACCACTAGGGACATCCCCAGCCCAAGAGGCAGAATTTACACAGGAAATTTATTGCTTGTTCTTTGGTCTTTTTTTTTTTTTTCCTTTGGTCTTATTATATTTTTTAATTAATGAAAGTGTCATGTATTGTGTTGATGTTTCATAGTGATTAACATTTGTATAAGAAACAGTTGTGTTTTGCTTTGCAGACCATGCATGGGATTTTGAAGCACAACCTGTTTTGCAAAGATATGACAGTACAGTATGATTCAAGACTTCGAGAAAGGGTAAGTGACTTATTTATTGTGTATGCCAAATTTTCATTGCTGTGACAAATACCTGAGAAAAACAACATAGAAGAAAGATTTATTTTGGCTTATGGTTTCAGAAGTGCCAGTCCATGGTTGGCTGGTTCCATTGCTTTGGAACTGAAATGAGTGAGAACATCATACGGAGGAAAGCTGCTCACCTCATGGTAGCCAAGATGGAGAGAGAGGGTGGGGGAGGGGAGGGATAGAGAGAGGAGGGGCCAGGAACAAAATATAGTTCCCAAGGGAAACATAGTCCCCAGTAACCTACTTCCTCCACACAGGCCTACCTGCCTAGCGCCCACAACCTCCCATTCAGTTATCCCTGGATCAATCCACCAATGAGGTCAGAGTCCTCATGAGCCAGTCACTTCCCCAAAGCCCCACCTCGTGAACATTGGCACTGGGGATCAGTTCTTAAACTCATGAGCACTGGGGGGACCTGCCTGATCCAAACCACAGTATTTATACATCGTGCTTTATCATAAAATTTCAGCTAGCCACCTCATTTTATAATGTGGCTAAAAATTAAGTGTAGTTCTACTGGGGTCTACTAAATGAGTCACATATTCTTTTACATATTCTCATAGTACGTGTGTGTGTGTGTGTGTGTGTGTGTGTGTGTGTGTTTTGCTGGGTGTCAAACCCAGGGCCTTGCACATATTAGGCAAGTGCTCTACCACTGAGCCACACACCCAGCCTATATGTAGCACCTTTTAAATTACTAAAATTTTATGAGATAAGATGGGATAAGCCTCTTGAATCATAAAAGGAGATACTTGTAAGAACTTGAAACAATATACAAGAGTTTAGAGTAAAAGGTGAAAAGTTCTCACCTCTCAGTCCTACTCCTCCCTTACAGGTATGAATAGATTTTTCTCCTGCCCATTTTGTATGCCAGAAATGGGTCTTCTTGAGGCTGACTTAGCAAAGTCATACAGCAAAGTCATACAGTCAAATCTTTAGATTTGAATCCAAGTCTCCTAGAGCAGTCTTGATTTTTATTGTGCTCTCTAATACTAACCTGTAAGCCCGTTAGCATCCCTGCCACTTCATGAATCTCTTCTTTACCTGGGCAGAAATGTAACAGAATGTGGAGGGCATTTTTAAAGAATGGCTTCCCATAACCTGCATGTGTTCTCTGTTATTGTAAAGAATGGATCTTAGAGCTACATCGTCAAGGCTGCACAAAGGGCTCAGTCTGTGCCTGAGAACCAGGGCTCAGACTCTTCAAGATGTTCTGACCTCTGAACCCTGAGCACACCTGTCATCATACAGTAGGAGAAAGCATCATCAGTGGGCGTGGCCACCTTTCTCACTCTGTGCTCTGTCCTGGAGTAATTTCATCTCCTATGGTTTTAGTTGGTGAAATCCCAATGATTTCCAAATCTGTGATCAGCTGAGATCTCTTACCTGAGCTGCATGTTCACTATCAGACTGCCTACTGTGGTTTCTGGTTTGTATGCTCTGCACCTCTTTTCTGCTCAGTGGGTGTTCTGCCTGTACCCCAGGCTGCTCCTCTTTACCCTATTGGTTGAGCCATTCATTTTTGGCTCTTTGTCTCTTATGCCCCACCACCTACCACAGGCATTCTTACATGTGTTCTCTGCAAACCCCTGCTGCCATCCTGGAGCAGGTCAGTGTCATCTCCTACCTCAGTCCCTGTGATAGTCTTTCTCTTCTTTCCTGTCTTGCATCCTCTTTTCAAACCTAATCTCCAACTGCAACCTGAATAATCCTTTGCAGAATGGTTCACTAATTCTCTTAAACCTGGGTCCCAAGGTACTGTGTAAACTCACCTGTCACCTCCTTGCCCTCTCTTCCTCCCTGGTACTTCACGTTGTAGTCTCAGAGTACTGGTTGGGCGTTGGCATGGTGTTTGCCACCCGCTAGCATTCTTTCCAAGCACTGCAAATTCATTCAGCTTCATAACCTACTGTGTGAAGACTGAAAAACCTCACGTTTTAATTCACATTTTATAGATGGCAGACATCAAAGCACATAGAAGTCAAGTCTATGCCTCCGATCACATAGCCACCCAGCCCTGCAGTCCATACTCTGGAACGCCGATCACGGGCCTCAGGCTCTTCTCTGAATCACCCAAATGCTTCTGGCAAAAGAGCCAGCCTCATGAACTTCTGGCCTGTGCTCCACTCTGCTCCCCCATCTGCCAGTTTCTACTCACCTGTCAGGCTTTGGCCCTCTGTGATTCCCCCATCCGTAGGAGTCATCTCCACAGGCGTACCTGTGTCCTTCGTTCTCTCCATTGCGCTCCTTGGTCAGCAGCTCACCACACTGGTCTCTGCACAGGCGGGCTCAGCCCTGTGGCCTCAGTCCCAGTTTGCTTCATGGTGGCACTCAGAATACTTAATAAAGGAAGGTTTCCATTCCTCTGAAATCAAAGCAAGTGATAATTCTTACTGATCCCTTGTGTAATAGAGATTGCTTTGTTTATGCCTGGAGACACGAATTTGGCATTGAGGATTGCAAGAATGGCTGACTTCGTAGCAAAACATGCATTTATTCTTATAAAATGGTATTTTACTCATGGATTTCTATCTGATGATGGTATGAGGATCTTTTGGCATCATCTGTGCAAACTATAACAGTTTTTTTTCTTTAAATTCATTATTATGCAAGCAACCCATTATCGGTATAAGGAATTAAAAGTGACTTGGGGAGAAATACAGTTAAAATCTATATCACCCCCAGATAAACAGTGGACATTTTTGGTATGTGTTCCTGATTTATTTCCCCTTGCTTGTGCATTTTTCTAAATGGAATTCTTTGTATTGCTTTTAAACTAGCATTTCTCATTTATTGTGTACTGACTGCTTTTCAGTGCCTGTAAATGCACCTTGATATAATCACCTAATTAGTGACTTAATGGATTTTATGTAATTTATATAACCCAGCAACTACTAATTAGCATCCAGGTTGTGACTAGATTTTCTGCTGATGTAAATAATGTTAAAATAAATATTTTTGCAGTTCATTCTTGGTACACCCATCTAACATACTTCTAGAAATGGACATTGCTGAGTGTGTACTTTTTCTTATATTAACTCTAAATTGCCTAGTTTAAATGGCGTTTCAAAAAGCCATGCCAGCTAATATTCCCAAGAGTGGTCTAGGAGGAAATATTTCCAAGCCACACTTGATGTTGTCAGTTTCTTTAATTTTACAATGCAATAGCTGAAAAATGGTGCCATTTAATTTTTACATTCTTGGGATTCCTAATGAGGTAGTTTCCCCATGTTTCTTGGCTCTTTGATTTCATTTGTGACTTGCATGTCCTGTGCTTGGGCTCAGTCTTCATGCGCCTAGGAAGCTAGCAATCTGGACTTGGATTTTAACTTTGCTGTTGTCTGTGAAAGTGAGGCTATTTGTTTAACCTCCTCGAAACTTGGCTTCCTCCCTTATAAACGTGGAGGAATACTTTTATACCTGCTTCAGAATTCTCTTATTAAGACCAAGTGAGAGAGTGTGTGGATGGGAGGTGGCCAGCATGGTGCCTTGCATGTGTTCTCTAGCCCAGGAGTCTAAGCCTGACCTTGTATTTATTCAGTTAAGCCCCGCCGTCTACTTAGCTTCAGTGACTTCTTCCATACAACCCTCTTTGGACATAGTGTACCACTCAGGTTTCTGTTGTATTTTCTAAGGCTTCATGGCCTCCTATGATACTGAATACATTCCTGTTATCAGGAAGAGAGAGGATACTAAAATAATATAGGAAACTAAGCTTATTCATGGAGCCATCTCAATTGGCCAAAAGTCTGAACTGAATCGTTGTCTTGCAAATTCACCTGAGGCACCTTTGTCTGTTGGACCATGACAGAAATATGGGGCTGCGGAAGGCAAGCCTCTAAGTGACCTGAGGAACATGGCCAAAGAAGCTGGGGAAGAATGCCCTTTCTTTACACCTCCCGGAGGAGAGACGTTAGACCAGGTATGTACGTACCACTGACCCGAGTTGCCAAGTTGGGGGACTTAACATTGTCAGAATGGCTGAATCTGACTCACTTGTAAATTAGACGTTTGTGAATTATAGCCAAGCAATTTGAAAGTTGCTTTGTTTATAACACAACTCTGCATGATGTTATTTCTTTTTTCCTTTTTAAGGCATCTTCTCTTTCTCATTTGCTGCTAAGTTAGMAGCCATTACTGATCATGAATTTAAGGAGACCTATTCTTTTATGGTACATCTAAGAAAAAATTGTTTGTGAAGCAGTAGCGAGCAGCAGTGGTGTTCAGGGGGACTAAGCAAATCACTCAAGGGTCAAGTCATTCTGGACATGAACTCTGGCCACTGCTGCCTAGCAGCTCTTGAGTGACATCCTCAAGTGCTCACGCTTCTAATAAGTCATCATCTTTGAATTGTGTTATTGATAATTTTCCCTCTATTCTTTATCTTTGTAATTTTCTGATAAACTCTATTACCTTAGTAAAAGAAAAATTTGTTGTTCCAGCTGAACTGAAGTGCCACATAGTTTCTTGGTGAGCACTGTTTTATGGCTTTCTGTTCACTTGTAGATTTCCTTAACCTAGTGCTCCGAAGTCAGGAATTAGAACAATATTCTACTCATCTGTATCCCTGGTTTGCCTCCAGAAATGTGGTAGGCACTTTCTTGTACCTGTGAAAGCCCCAATTGAATGATCGGAAATATAGATTGAGATTCATCTACTTAGGTGTCCTTACATTGACCCATTAGAAAAGCAGGCAGTTATGTCATGTTTATGTTGTCAGGAGATCATTAATGTCCCTTTATTTCACATTTTCTTTCTTTCCTTATAAGGTGGAAATGCGTGGAAAACAGTTTTTTGAATTTCTATGTCAGCTAATCCTGAAAGAAGCAGATCAAAAGCAACAGTTTTCTCCAGGAGCTCCAAGCAACAATCTGGAAACTTCTTTGGCAGAGATATTTCCTTTAGAAACAAACTACAGCTCTGAAGTTAACTCCGACAGTGGTGCTCCAGGATTAGTGGCCAGTGTCTTAGTCGTGAGTCATGGTGCTTACATGAGAAGCCTGTTTGGTTATTTTCTGACTGACCTTAAGTGTTCCTTACCAGCATCTCTGAGAAAATTTGAACTTTCGTCAGTCAGTCCCAATACTGGGATCAGTCTCTTCATCATAAGCTTTGAGAAAGGAAAAGAACCTACACCGAAGTGTGTTTGTATGAACCTACAGGATCATCTTAATGAAGTGACCAAAACACTCTCAGTTTAGATCTGCATCAAAATTCTAACAGTTTTGAGCTTCTGAAGGGAGTGCCTTTGGCTTACTTTATTTCCGTCCTTTGCTAGTGCTAATTCGGAAATAGTTAAAAATCATATTATAAACTCTTCTGGAATGTCAGCAACATCACACAGTAGTGGAAAGCCATTTAGAATTGACTTATGTTGTCTTGAGTGCAGCCTGTGTTTTCCACCCTGCTTGATCCCATCTCTGAGTGATAAATGGAAGGAACTCAGTGTTGCAAGTTGGGGGATTCACATCCTTATTATAGAAATTTTTTTCCCCTTTTAAAAAATGTTTGTTTGTTTTTTCTTTAATGAAAAAATTAGCCTATTTCATTGATTGATTCTTGGTAAGATAATGAATATTTTTTACTATCACATCCAAGTCTTGAAAGAACTATTTATATTTCCCATTGCATATTTATAGTTACTGTTATATTTTGAAAGAAAAGTTCTTTAAATGGAAAATTCATTCCGTTATAAGTCTATATATAAAGTAAAATGATAAAATGACACTAAAATCTTTTACTTAGAAACAAGCTGTTGGATTATTATTTTTTTTTTATTCAAGAGGGCTTGAAATGTAGATGAATGCAGATTATGAGTGCAGAGCAACCTGGGGGAGGAGGTTAAGACATCATTTGACTAAAACACATCACAGATGGAAGCCCTGGGCAGAAGGTAAAAGAGCAGTGTGCTCTTTTATCTTGCAAAACACAAAGTCAGTGGAAGCCAAGAAAGTCCCCCAAAGAAGTTTGACTCAGAGAGTAAAGACCACTATCCACTTGCTTCTTCTTTATCCTGTAGGCTGAAGAATTTCCAGTTTGGGGAAGGCCCAAGAAAGGGAACTATCAACTATGTGGGAACCTCAGAACCTAGAGGGAGCTTCATTGAAAAGCATGGGGCAGGGCTGGGGATGTGGCTCAAGTGGTAGCGCGCTCGCCTGGCATGCGTGCAGCCCGGGTTCGATCCTCAGCACCACATACAAACAAAGATGTTGTGTCCGCCGAGAACTAAAAAATAAATATTAAAAATTCTCTCTCTCTCTCTCTCTCTCTCTCTCTCTCTCTCTCTCTCTCCTCTCACTCTCTTTAAAAAAAAAAAAAAGAAAGAAAGAAAAGCATGGGGCAACAGTGGTTTTTGGTGGAAGGTACAAATGAAGTTACCTCTGATTTCCACTAGATGGCGCCGGAGGAAAGGAATTTTGACTAACCTAATTTGGACATCAGCTTGGTCCTTCAAAAGTCCTTGTCTAAATGAAGGCAGTGTCTTACATGTAGTTTGCTTTTAAGTAATCATGTTGCTGAGTGCCATAAATTTCAGCTTACAAGAGGATGAATGCTAAGCCTGTCAGTTAAGGCTAAGATCACTTTTGGTTGATATCTCCTTTGAATATAATTTAAATCTTTTGTAAAGTTGTATATTTCAGCATTCTTGGTGTGTCCACAACTACCATGTTTTCTGCCAGGATTGGAGACAGGGTGTGGATTTGAGCACTGGAGGAAGAACACTAGAAATAAGTACTTGAAATGATAACCTCAAAGAACTACTAATGTCCTCATTCTCACCGACCCCAAGTAATTCCTTCCTCTTTTTTTTTTTCCTCCAAAGAAATAAAACATTGAGATGTAAGAAGAGTTTTCTTTAATTCTCACAGTGCTATTCCCCTGTAGAGGCAACCACTGCAGTGAGTGAGTGTCTGTGTTCATCTCTTCTTCTCATGTTCACCCCGTGTCTGCGAGGCAACAGTATTGTTTGGTGCCTTAGAAATGTACATGAATATCATCGAGCTGTCTGTGTTCTTTATTTTTACCTATTCTGTGTTGGGGCACTCTCTATGATGATATATATAGACCTAGTTAATTATAACCACTGTACGCTCATGAATAAATATAGCACATGTGGTTTATTATTCTACGAGTGGACATTTAGGTCTCTTCAATATTTCTCCATTGAAACACTGTCACGAGGAAGAATCTTTAGTTGGCTCCTTGTGCAGAGTGGAAATTGTGCCAGATGTCTCTTCATGGTGGCTGTGCTACTTGTCAATGCCACTGGCAGTACCAAGAATGCCTCCCTTCCATGTCTTGTCAATACTCAGTACCATCTAACTGGTTCTTGCTAATCTGATGAGTGAAAAACATTATCTCACTATTTTATTAAGTTTTTCTGTGATTGTTAATGAGCTTGGGCATTTTTTTTTTTTTCAAATGAATGACAGTTCCGGTCTCCTTGGATTGCTGATCCACTGGTTTATGTTCTTTGCCTGGTTTTCTATTGGCTTGTTCAAGTCAAACCAAAATATCTTGTCCTTTTATGTGTATGTGCACTTGGATCTTGGAGAAGCCTTCTCCATGATGAAATCATGGAATAATCTTCTTTCTTTTCCCTTATAGTTTTAGAGGGTTTTTGAATGTCAAATTTTAAAATTACCTGGATTTTATTTTTTTAAAAATATAAAGTATAGATTCAGTTTTATGTTGTTTTCCATGTGGGTGAAACAGTTACCCCAGCACATTTTTTTAATATTTATTTTTTAGTTGTAAGTTGGACACAAAACTTTATTTATTTTTATGTGGTGGTGAGGATTGAACCTAGGGCCTTGCACTTGCTAGGCAGGCACTCTACCGCTGAGCCACAACCCCAGCCCACCCCAGTGCATTTTTGCAAGTCTGTTCCTAGCCAGGCATGGTGGTGCACCTATTGTCCCCAGTACTCAGGAGGCTGAGGTGGGAGGAACACTTGAGCCCAGGAATTCAAGACTGTGGGCAACATTGCAAGACCTCATCTCAAATAAAATAAAATAAATGAATAAAAGTAAAGAGTCTCCTGACCTGTGATTCATCATTGTCACTCCCTTATACATCCATCTGTGCCTCTCTGTGGACTCTTCTGTCTTAGCGCTCTGTATTTCCACATCAGTGTCTTGTAGTTTTGCAACTGAATGTCGGTGAGTACTTCCTCTTCTTCATTTTTATGGTTGTCTTTGTGTTATCTGTATACCTTTGTTCATATAAATTCTAGAATCAATTGGTTTTCAGAAAACTTGAGTTGCAATTTTTTTTAATCACATACATTTCTTATCTAGTCATTCAGTAAATATTTTTTGAGTATAGCATGTACATCCTAGGATAGCATAAGAACTCTAGAGCTATTATAAGAACTGTGAATATGAAGCAAGAAGCTCAAAATACAGTCTTCATCTTTGTGGAATTTAGAGTCAAGGAAGACAGCAGTGAGTGCTATGAAGAAAAAAAAGAAAGCTGGGGAATGGAGACTGGAGGGAGATGTGAAGCTTTGTTCAGGATGAACAGGAAGGACTGAGGTGGTACCAGCATATACAGGCAGGGGAGTGAGCTCTAATGATCTCTGGAAGAACCTTCCCACAGACAGCCCAAAGGCCCCAGGAGGAACCATGCTTGGGAGGTTTGCCTGGAAAAGGGAATGGGATGGGAGTGGAAAGCTTGTGTGGGCCTCCCAACTAGGGGCCTGTGCTAAGGTCTTGGGCTCTTACCCAAGCAGGTTGGGAAGGCTGGGGAAGTTTTGAGCAGAGTGACAGGATCAGATTTATTCAGTAGCCTTACCCTGGTTGCTGTGTGGACAACAGACTGTAGGGGGCGCTATAGGAACATAATGCTGGAGGCGGCTGCCACTTGAAAAAACAGCCAGGGACATTAGCAGGTCAGAGAGTCCCCAGTGATAGACAAGGAACCTGGACACTGGGTTCCTAGATTAACTTGGAGAAGAACTGTCCTCTTCCCATCTGTGAATGTCATAGATCATTTTTTCTGGGTCTTTTACCCAATAAGGTTTTGTCATTTTGTTTGTAATGTTTTGCCTGCATTTTTTTTTTTTCCTTAGAGCAGTTTTAGGTTTATGGCAAGATTGGAAGGAAGTATAGAGATTTTCTGTATATCCCCTGCCTCGCCCATGTGCAGCTTCCCCAACATCCACATGCCTTACCAGAGTGGTACCATTTGTAACAATAACAAGTCATTGATACATGATGGTCAGTTTACATTAGGGTTCACTTGGTGTACATTCTGTGGGTTTGGACAAATGTGTGACATGTATCCACCATTATAGTGTCATACAGAACATTTTCAGTGCCCTAAACATTCTCTGTGCTCTGTGTATTCACCCTCTCTTGTCTTCCCTGGCTGTTGGGTTTAGTCCTAGGCCTGGCAAGGGGAAGGGACACTCCCTCAACTTCAATTTCCTACACAGCTTCCTCTTTAATGCTTTTTAACTGAACTATTTTCCCATTAAAAGCCTGTTTTACCCAGCATCTTTATTTTTCCTATTGTATTAGCTTCCCATTATTGTAACAAAACACCTGAGATAAACAGCTTATAAGGAGGAAAAGTTTATTTTGGCTTACAGTTTTAGAGGTTTTGGTCCACAGTTGGTTGGCTTCGTTGTTTTGGGGCCAGTGGTGGTAGTGCGTGGTGGAGGAAATTGGTCATCTTGTGGTGGCCAGGAAGCAGAGGAAGAGTGTGAGCAAGAAAGAGAGGGAGCAGCTAGGCTCCCAATATTCCCTTCAAGGAATTCCACAGTGAACTACCTTCCTTCCCTTAGGGCCCTCCTCCTAAATGATATACTACTTCCCAATATCACCACAAGATGGGGACTTAGCCTTCAATACCTGCATCCTTGGGGAACATTCCATATTCAAACAACTATAGCAACTATCTAAAATTTCTTACAGTGTCATACCAAGCACATTATAGGCTTTCATTAGGGGAAGCACAGAAGGTAAAATATATTGAGGATACAGCAGGGTCTTTAATCAGGCTCATCTCATGGCTGACTTGGGCAGGAGATGCAATGTTTGGGTATACCATTTAGAATAAATGTTTTCATATTATGTATACTTGCATGTATATGTATGTTTACATTTACACATAGTTGGATTTGTAAGTTAAATGTTTCTATTATGTATCTCCATTCTGTGAAGGAAAAAAATCACAATTTTATCCAAACAGATCTTCTAGATGAATACACTCAGGCATAATCATCAGCTCCATAAGGGCAGATGGCACTCACCAGCCTGGAAATTGAATGGGACTTGTTTTAGTCATCTTTCTGTTATTGTAAGAAAATACCTAAGATAATGAACTTATAAAGAAAAAGAAGTTTGTTTTGGCCCACAATTTTAGAAGTTTCAGTTCATGGTTGGCTTCATTGTTTTGGGCCTATGTTGAGGTGACACATCATGGCAGGAACTTGTGGAGGAAGAAAGCCCTCACCTCATAGCCATGAAGCAAAAGAGAGAAGAGGCCAGGCTCCACAATCTCCTTTGAGGGCATGCCCCCAATGGAGGGTGTATTCCCAAGGGTCTAAAACCTCCTTGTAGGCCCCACCTCTTACGGTCCCACCACCTTTCAATAGTACCACCCTGGGGACCAAGCCTTAACACATGAGCCTTCGGGTGACGTTTCAAAGCCAAATTATAACAGGGTTCTATAACTGTTACTCCTTAACTATTCCCCCATCTTTCTGTGGGTGCCTGTAAGTATAACTTTTGAGTTTACTCTTAAGCACCATACACATACACAATTTTACATATGTGGGAATAAATATCAAATCAGGAAAACTGACTTAACGGTGTCTCATATTTTCTTTGTGTTTTGTTTTATGATCCTGGAAGTTTTGAAGAATACTGGCCAGATATTTTGTTGTCTCTGTTGGAATTTGTCTGGTGTTTCCCCCAGAATTAGACTGTAATTGTGAGTTTTTGGAAGAAAGATCATTTTCATTGCATCATATCAGGGGCCCACTATAAACACAACTTGTTTCGTTTGATTGTTGGTGTTGGCCTCAGTTAG